CAAACTTCTGGGTCATTCACTGATATTAAAAAAATATAGAATAGTAGAATAAGAGATAGTCATAAATTGGTCATTAAAGATCATAAAGTCTGTTTTCTCACATTGGGGTTACAAATATTGTAATAATAAATAAAAATTTCCCAACTATTTTCAAGAAGCTAATTACTGAACTGAGAAACTTTTTTTCCTTTTTGTTGGATTCATATTGAGTAATTAATTTCTCTCTTGATCATATAGGGAAGGAATGTATCAAATTAATCTGGTTTTTCACTGGAAAGAGCTGGTTTCTTGAACAGAAGGTTCTAAAAGTGTATCAAGCTGGTAAGAGATTCCTGAAGTCTATTTTATCCTCTCTGTTCCTGATAACTTGCCTTCCTGCCATGTGCCATGAGTTCTATGATTCAAATGAGCTCTCTGCAAAATAAGAGTACCAAAAATATGCCTTACTGCAGAAACTTCCCTACCACTCTCACCATCACCAGGAGGGAAAAACATGGCTATGGTTAGCAGCTCTCCTGCAAGGAGTGTTTTGCACTTTGTATTAATTCACTCTGAGTTTATCACAAACAATAGAAACCACTAATGCATAAAGAAGGATTTGATTTCCCAGTATTCAATTCAGATTCAACTTTTAGCAAGTGAGACAGACATAAAAACCTACCTGTTTTGTAGTCATTCAACAAGAATTGAGATTTAGGTTGGCAGGTTGAGAAACATTCAAGAATATGTACTATTTTTCCCCTTACACTCTCTATCAGCTTCAGCTCTAGAATAAAATGTCTACAATGGTAAAAATCATAGTGCGTGGACAACAGTCAACACTTATGTATCTGCCAAAATGAAAATAACATGGAAAAGAAAGTCTGAAAGACTGAGACTGAGTTTAAAGTCTCTGTGGATTCATATGTTAACACCAAAATGAGTCCTGAACAAAGGTCTTTGCTGGGGACTTTGTTTCTGGGAGCAGCTTTTTTAATAGCACTATTCTGTCTTACCCACTATTGACTAAATGGGTTTGACAGGAAAAACACTCACTGTGTCAGGAAGCTAAGAAAAGTTGACTATGAGGATCCCTAACAAGCAAGATATAGGCAGTGAAAGAATCATTTCCGGGAACTTTCTGTTTTTTTCTTTCCCTCTCTCTCTCTCTCTCTCTTTTTTTTTTTTTTAAGTGAGGGGAAGCCTCAGTCTTAATTTGTGTGTCAATTTTAATTATTAGTTCAGAGAAAACAGGTATCACCCAGTGAAGGCCAATGAAGTGCCAGACCTTTGCTGTGGGATTTTGTAGAAGGAATCTCCTTCACTCTTTAAACTATTCCTCCATGTACTTAGAGGAAGAAAAAAATAGCCAAGAAACTGACAGTCATTTTGTGACCCAGGGGGAGAAGAGAAGGATGCTGATAACAGGCATATCAGAGCAGAGGGCTTGAAAAATTGGAAAGTTGAATGCCAAATCAATTATTCAAGCAGATTCTGGCACCTACTCTAATTCTGACCTTACAGTTTTAAGAAATAATTTATTGAGTTTTAGTCAAGTATTCTAGTATGTACTTCATAAAATCCTAACTGCTTTAATATATATTTTAAATGTGGAATAACTAAATTGAAATGAGTCTTGTTAAGAGAATATGCTTTTAGAGATGTTGTGGACCTTTTCTCATGAATTTAAGAATTCTAATCTGAGCTTCATTGTCCCATTTATCTCTTCAAAACCTATATGTCTTTTTAGAATAAACACAAAAATCCTTCAACTGAAGAAAAATATTAATCAGGGTTGATGAACTGCAATAAAGAATGAAAATCTTACATATTGGAATGTGTCACTAGTAATAATAAATATATCAGTGTATCTTTTTCTGTCCTTTGGGTTTCTTTGCATGTTTATTTGCTATTATTTTGTTTCCCTAAATGTAAGGATTAGTCAGGTTTTCAGGACACAGTGTAGGAACTCTATGGATGTGTAGAATTGAACCCATGCCTTTCAATCTCTAGGTACTGTTGAATCAGCATTAGAGATAGTTTCGTCCTCAATTGTTTTCTATGATGTAACTACTTTGCATCTCTTCCAGTTTTGTGTCATAATTGTGTGTCATAGGGGTGTCCCTACTTACTTAGCAGGAATACTAACTTCTTCATTGGGATGTGCATTTTCATAACAGCTTAATAACCTCCAAAAGCCCCAGCTGCACTCATCACATTAGGAGTTAGGATTTCAACATATGAATTATAGAGGGACACAAAGCTTTAGTAATTTTAATTTCCAGACATTTCTTTTTCTTTCTTCTAAAAAACAAAACAAACAAACAAACAAACAGAAAGAAAAAAAAAAAGAAAATACTTTGGATTCGATGACATCCTGTGTCACATCATTTGGGAGCTAACATCTTGAGGATTCCCAGTCATCACTCCCACCTATTTGCTGTAGAATATATAATTTGGCTGACAGAATTCTTAATGTCTATTCTGGCATTTCTTCCATGAATATAATGCATTTAAAGGGCATAACATATTTATATTCATTACTTATCTAATACACTGGCAACTATATATCTCAGTTTTCTAACTCTATGAATTTTCTCCCATACTATGTAACCAACCCACTCTCTACTCATTCCTGGATGGGGTTGTGACAAGGAATGCTCATCACTCAAAGTCTTAGCTAAAAAGTGACTTGCTATTCTCCTAGATTACTTTTTCTAGTATATAAACTACAATATGTTTTATCTTTATGGAGCTGTTTAACAATTATTAACACATCAAATTTTGGTTATTTTGGTCTTGTTAACATTAATGTT